CTTTCCAGGAAATCCTCTTTTAATGGAGCCTGAAAACTGACTCTCACAACTCCAAATAGAGTGCTGCATTTTCAGAAAAGAATTCACATATTAAGCATCAGCCAAACTGTGGCAGTTCATCCCACTTTTCAAGTCACCAGCAAAGTCTGCTTTGGTGCCCTTTACGATCAGCAGGATATTTTTGATAAGGAATCACACTGAATATCAATCAAGCCCTTTCTCTCCTTCCTATATACTCTTACTCATTAAGATTAAAGTTACTTTTTGCATTTGAGTATGTTGGTTCACTTCAGATAAGTGGTAGCAAGGTTCTTCTGTCAGTTTGATTCCCTTTTAGGCCCTGTAGTTATCTATATGTCTCATTTTCTCAGCCTTGATACTTCCTTTCTGTATTCATACATGCATACATGCATGCAAGCATGCATATCTTTCCCTGGTATCCTAGAACACTGCGGCACCTTCTTCCACTGGAGAGTATCTGACCCTTTCAGATGCTCTCCAGTGCATTCAGATCCCACCCAGTGAACACCCTTGGCCCTTGCTGTGCTCTTCACCCTTAGACTCTTTTCTCTCAGTCTGGTTTGTTTGTTTGTTTATTTAATTTTTGCAAAGCACTTCATATGAGACAGAAATTAAAACCTGGGACTTAGCAGACCAATAACTCCATGTTAATTAATACAGAAGTGACCCTGCAGCTCCCACAGGCCTGGATGCTCGTAACCCAGCTGGTACCAAGACTCAAACAACACCCTTCCACTGAGGATTTCTGTGCTTCAGCATAGCTGAATGGCTCTCCAGCCCCCTCCTGTTCTTATTATGGTTCCCAGGTGACTCTGAGCTCAGACCTTCAGACAGGCTCCAGTGGGTGATTTCCCTATTGTTAATGAGGCTTCTTAGATACTGTGTTTAGGATCTCATATTCACAGAAAGTAAAGGAAATGGTCTCCAGAGATTTCAGTGGTTCCATTAGTACCAAAACAAACCCCAGCTTCTTTGATAGCTAATCTCAGTGACTAGGAAACCTAAAAATGATTGGCATACTCATTCTGAAATGCTACAATGTCTGCTCCCCTCGCACAAATGAGATTCCATTCCAGTCAGCTACTGCATATTTATGCTCAGCCTTTCATTAACATATGGATCATGTGATGATTCACTATTCTTTGCTACCTTTGGGGAAATAAAAAATGGAAAAGAAAAAAAAAAAGTGCTCTAACGGTGGGGTTATTTCATGCTTTCTGAATATTCAATCCAATCCTCCTGGTCTCTTTCTGTCCTCCTTTCTCCCTGAAAGCTTCATAGACCTCCAGAGAACTCCCACAAGAGAGGGTGACTACCCTTCCCCAGCACGCCCCTTGGGCTGCCATAATGTGACATGAAATTATACAGCTAAATCAGGGTGAAGTGTCTCCCTTTAAGGGTAAAATATGGTATTGCACTCTAAATTCCTGTACTGCAAAAACAAACAGTGCCATCAATTCATTTCCAGTCAGACCTCCTTCCCCTTGGGAAAAGTACACAGAACTTTCTGGTGGGAAAAATCATTTGGAAATACAACCTCTTTACTAGAGGGAAAGCTCTCCCTTCATTCAGCTTGTCTGTCATTAGCCACCCTGGTATGCTCCAGTGAGGTACTTTGAGGTCACAAGAAGCAAGTCCCCGGGGCAGGGGTGTAATTCACTCTTAATATGTGCTCATAACTCCTGACAAGATTATGAGGTCTGAATCAAACCTGAGTAATGGCCATTTGTAGGTGAATGTCTCCAAAGAGGGTAGTGTTTTAGGAAGGATTCCACTACCTTGCACACAAATGAAGCATCTATGTTCTCTGTTTTCTTTAAGCTCTCTTACTGTGAATAACATCTTCCTGTTTTTCACCCTTCTGTTTGAAACAGAGGGAGCAGGTGAGGAGGAAAGGAAGGTTTTAAAATTCATGTGTTTCTTTAATTCAACACTAGCACATTGGATGTGGGGTTGAGTAAAACTGCATTCATATCCGTGGTTCCTCTTGATCATTCAGCTAAGAGGTACAGGAGGAAGAGGAGAGCTCTCTGAGTCCACCTCACAGCCACACAGTAACATGCGATGGTGCTGGTCTTCCTGTGACCCCAGAGCAGGCCAGCCCATGACTTTCAAGTGAGGAGCTGGCTGATGAGACTCAGCAGAGCATCCCAGGGGAAAGAGCTCACAGTGTAAATCTGGAGAAACTCCACAGAATTTAGCAGTGACTCCAGATACGCTGTGGTCTCACAAAACTCCAAAGCAGCTATTTGTGATAGCAATGAAAAAGGGACATTTTCTTTCCAGGCCTGAATCTCTCCTGAGATGTGCCAACTATGTTAATGCAATGTCATTGCTTCTGGTGAGGTTACATTACTGCAACTGGGAGCAATGCTGAATTCACTGGTTGCAGTGGTCATCTGAGGACAGGATTCTCTGCTGCTTGTTGCCTGGGTTTTGCACCAGCAGCAAATGCTGGTTTAACAGCTGCAGTGGCTGTTGGGCTTTATGTCCAAAGTTTCTCCGTAAAAAGAAACTGTGAATTTGGTTACCCCCAAATTATTTTTTACAGTATGATGCCAATTATTATAAAAATAGTAAAAATAACCACGTATCCATCACCACAAATTTTAAAGTAGAGTCATCATTTTCATGGGAAACGCATGACCAACGTGTCTTGGATCCCCACCCTTGCAGCTGCCCAAAAGCAAACTCTATTTTTTTGGAGTTGTTTGGGAAATCCTTAGTAGTTCCCAAACCGTTCAATTTGAGAAGGAAAGGGAGATAGCCATGCTATTCAATGCCTGTATTAATTTGGCATGTAAGCCGTGCCATTGCCTTCAGCAGGAATGCACACATGAATGGGGCAGGAGGATTGGGTCTGTTTTCTACTCCATTCTCTTTGATCCTCCGAGTGTCTTCTCTGCCAAGGTCGCATCAGGCTGCAAAGGCACTTTTTGCAACTCTGTATGATCTGTGTCTGTCCCTTATTTATTCAAAATGCGTTTGCCTCTACAATTTAATCTGCTGTTCTCTCCCTCCCCTTCCTCTTGGTGAAGTCTAATTACAGTTTTATTCCAGGTCCATCTGGTTGCTAACGATGCTGGACATCACTGCTGAATTCATTCTAATATTTGTTGTGTATTTTCTAGGCTGGACGCTGAATAATAATATTCTCTGAATTTGCTTTTGCTCCTGTTTCCTTCTTCCCTGTTGTAGCTAATTGTGTAGTAATGAGTAGTCATGGGATGATTATTCCTCCCAGTGTAGATCTGCTAAGATTTGCCGATTTCAGATTGCAGGCTAAAGATTTTTTTTTTTCCTGGTATTGAGAAGACTTCAAAGTCCTTTCTGTCAGCTCCTTTTACTGCTGTGGAATCACATGGGCAGTGGCTTTCTCTGCCTTTTTTTTTTTTTTTTTTTTATTCCCAGCCCCACTCAAATAACTGTGAGCCTCAGAGCATCCTGGTAGGCAGTGTTTCAGAGTTTAGAAAGACACTTTTTGCCCGTGCCTGCTCCGTGTAATGGTTGAGCCTGGAGTATTTTAAGGTTCCCAAGCCTGGTTTATGCAGTGCCAGTACTGGGATTCTTTTTCTTTTCTCCTTTTTGCTTTCTACACACTGCCTGGGAACACAGACTCGCACTTTACCCATGACCTGACTCTCTGGCTAAGAATAGCAGGAGCAGTGCAACTTGGGTTCAGTCTCACTGGAGACATGCTGCAGCTGGGAAACAGAGAGGTCAGAGTAGCCTGTGCTCACAAAACCAAAACACAAAAGGAGCACAGAGGATTTTGTATTCTTACCTCCTTTTAGGATTGTAGAACAAGGGGAGAGCTTGGCACAGGTGTTCAGTGGGCTAAGACACATTTTCTTTGCTCATGACATTAAGTTGGACAGGAAGTTTATGTATAGAAATTCACCTTCCAGGCTGAACAGGACCTTTCCTCAAAAGGTCCTGCATCCTTATGAATCATCCAGCCAAAAACCATGCAGGCTGGGGAAGACAAGCAGTGCTGATTAGCTTAGGACGATGAGATGTTTGAGGTAGCCCTCAAAGTAATTTTGCACGGTAATGTGAAGGTATGAGTTTAGCATGTGCTAGCAGACCTGCCATAGCTCATCCTATACAGCTAATGTCACAGTGATGCTGTGGCACTGTTTGTAGAGTGAGCGAGCAACGGGTCTCACTCAGAGCACATGTTAAAACCGACTTTGCTCCCATCCTTACCCTTTCCTAGTGGTATGCACCATCACGGGCTACATTCACACTTTCATTTTGTGGTGCAGATGTGCTTTCAGAGTAACACAAATACCAGTCCTGCTCTGTAGTTTTATGACAAAAAAAAATGCATTAGTAATAGAAGACCATTAGTAAACCATTAAGCTAATGGCTGTCGTAATACTTCTTGTGGCTGGGTAAAGATAAAGGTGACAACCTGTAAGGTTTCAACAGCACTTCCCCAGCTTGATTGTGCCCTCTGCTCTGTCGTGCCACAGCACCTGCCTGTTCTCAGCACCAGCACAGGGCAGTGTATCTGGAATGCAGACTGGTGAATTAATATTCACCCTGGCAAAAGGGGAGTCTTTTTTTGAGAAAACAGTATGACACCATCCCTGCCCTCTTCCCTCAGCCAAACTTGAACAAGATGTGGAAGGGAGCTGTGTTGCTAGGAATTAGAGATGTCTGGAGGATCTGGACCTGCAACCCCTACTACTGAGAGAAGCCATGCTCAAAGTCATCTACATGGCTTCCCCTTTTCCCCCATCTCAGAATCAGAGTAGAGGGGTATCTGGCCTGGGATCACGTTGGCTGGATAGGGGCTGCTCACACAAGTCAGGGATGCCAGGACTGGGCTACAGCTTAAGAAGCAGCAAATAGACTTAAGAGGAAAACCCCTTGAGGTATCAGGGCAGTAATTCTAATGGTAATTTTGAACTGTTTTTGTCTGTCTAACATTCCTTTTTAATCCCCATCCTGCCTGCCCCTTCCTTATGTAGGGTTACTTTAGTGATCCTTGGAATGTTTTTGACTTCCTCATCGTAATTGGCAGCATTATAGACGTCATTCTCAGTGAAACTAATGTGAGTATTACTCTACCCTCCCCAGGATACCACCACCTCCTCCTCCTCTGCTGTTCCTTCTCTCTTTCTTTCTTTCTTTCTCTTTTTTTTTCTGATTTTTTTTCCCTCTAGTCATGCTTTTATTGAACTTGCCGTCGTCCTTCTCCTTCTCCCAGGGAAAAAAAAAGGAGGGGGGGAAACGCCTCCTTCTTTTTCACTTGTCATAGCTCGCCCCAAGGCTGTGACTGGTGAAAGCGCACAGAGTTTGGGGTGTGTGTGCTTTTTTTCCCTCCAAAAGGTAGACATGCTTGAGAGTAACTTTCTGACTAACCAGGCTTTTGTTGATACCCTCCATCATGTGAAACGTTACAGAGGTTTGAGCAACCAATACTGTAGAGTGGTAAGAGACTATTTAATATGCCCACGTAACCTCTTTCTTTTCTTATTTTTTTCCTCTTCTCTCCCTCTTTCATGCTTTGTTTTGTTTTATTTTGTTTTTTATTTTAATTTATTTTACTTTTTCCTTTTTTTCCCTCTTTTCTCCCTCTCCCTTTCTCTCTCTCCCTCTCTCTCTTTCTCTCTCATTCTTTCTCTCTCTTCCTTTCTCTCTCTTTCTCTTTCCTTGGCTTCTCTGCCACATGCAGCACTATTTCTGTGATGCATGGAATACATTTGACGCCTTGATTGTTGTGGGTAGCATTGTTGATATAGCAATCACCGAGGTGAACGTAAGTAGCTGGCGTCTGTCCATGATCGTGCCTGCTCTAACATTCATTTGTCTTTCCCGGGTTCTTTATTTTTCCTCCCCCTTTCTCCTTTCTTTTGAGTTTGTTTTCAGAGGTTTTTTTTGTTTAGTTTTGAAGCTCTCTCTTTTTATTTAGTTTTGTTTTGTTTTTATTCTCTTTTAATTTTTGGAACGACTTAAAGGACTTTTTGACTGTTGCATCATTCTCTTCCCTTCATAATCCGCCTGGCATGAATTAAACTGTATAGCAGGAAAAGTGATGGGAAATGTGGAGCGTAAGTGAAAAAGCTATTTTTGCCATGGGAAGCTTCCAGAAAAGTCCCAGGCCAGCACTTTGGTCTACCCAGTGTTATGCTTTGCTTCCCATGGCAGTTCAATACTCTCCACCCCATAGAGATCTAAAGGTCAGTTCTTTCGAGGTGGAACTGCGGGAACCAAACCAACAATCCTCCTGGTGCCTCCTCACCCAGGCTTCCTCCAAAAGAAATATAGACCAAATCACCTCTGTTTAGAGGATCCTGCTCATAATGTTTAGTTTCTAATTTGGAAAAAATAATTAAAAACAGAACAGAAAGCCCAAAGAAAAACAAAGTACCAGAGTTTCAGCCCAGTTTGGTTTGCTCCATCTCACGAACTCCACCAGAACAACTGACACTGATTGGCCCCAGAGGTGCCCATCTCAGCAGACAGGTGAAGGATTGAATGAGCCATGGAGACTGAAACGAACAGCTGGTGTTCAAGGGAATAAATCACATCAGGCAAGCTTTTTCCTCTTTCTTTGGAGGTGGATGGGTATAGAATTACTGAATAAATAGACAAAGGACAGGCAGGACGTACAAAGATTCCCAAAAGAAAGACTACAAAGGACCCGCTGACATTATGAGCACAGGCAAAAATATTTTACAAAATCCAGCTTAGTAAAGACAGGAAAGTAGCAAGATCGAAAGAAAATTGCTCTAAAGATGTTAATGAAGAGCAAATCAATCATCAATTTGCAGAATGATGTTAGTGTTGAATAAATATTCCAGCTTGGAATTGTTGTGTACTGTAGAGGCAATCCATCACAAGCAGAAAAGTGACAGCAGTTTTCACTCAGTGCTGTCTTTAGGAGAAAATGTAGACAACAATTTGGAAAAGTCAAAATGCCTTGCTTTGATCTTCTCAAACAAAATGTTTTCATATTTTGGTTCTATTTTAACTTCTGTTCAACTTCCTTGTTTTTTTGTTTTTAATTCTTAAAGAAATTAAATGAAATATTGAATGAATTAAATATTTAATTTGACAGATTTTTCTTGTCTTTTGAGAGAATAGAAGATAGTTTCTAACTGCAACATTTAATTTTTTTAATACTTTTTTTTTGCATCTCTTAAGTGTCCTACTTTCTGTTCTAATTTCACCCAGAATGTTGGAAACAGTATTGGTTACCCTTTTACTAGAGAGAGATTAGGATTGGGCCAAGTTTGTAGAGGGAAATTAACAATGATCAGCAGGTCTAAGCTGTTGATTTAATAGAATAGCATAAAAGTCTTTTTATTCCACGCTTGGAACAAGAAAACTAAACAGGGAACCTGCTAGTAGCCTTCAGACTGTGGAAATGCTCAGTTGTCATCCACACAGGCAGAACTGTGCATGGTAGGTGAGGAAATAACTACAGCTAATAGGAGATGAATTACCCTAAACATCAGCAAGATTTTCCCGAGTCTCCTTGTATTTGAGTCCATAGAAAAGACTTCCAAGTAGAAAGGAGAGAAATACTTTCCTTTTTCCAAATTAACGGGGGCCTATCATAGAATCGTAAATTGGCTTGGGTTGGAAGGGACCTTAAAGATCATCTGACTCCAAGCCCTCTACTGTAGGCAGGGATGCCACCCACTAGATCAGGTTGGCCAAGGCCCCAACCAGCCTGGCCTTGAACACCTCCAGGGATGGGGCATCCACAACTTCTCTTGGCAACCTGATGGCAGGAAAATCTAATGGATTCTTTTGAAGAAATTCACAGTTATTTTGTATAAATTAAAGAACTTCCTATATCATGGTTTAAATCACTTTGATATACATCCCGTTAAAATCTAGTCATCTGAGAGGATGACTGTCACCCAGGCTTCCTTCTGCAGTTTGTGGAGAGAAACACCTTCCCAGGCCAACTGATTCCTCTCCACCTATGACAGGGGAAATGAATTGCTTTCTGGAGGTGCCCATCCAGTGACTCAAGATTGTCTAGGTTTGTTAGGTTTGTCTAGACGCCCAGCTCTCAGACATTAAAGTTAAGCAAGATAAGTCACACTCAAGCTTGGCATTTTGTCAAGAAGGTCGCATTGCTGCTAGTTGTGCTATGTTCAGATCTTCAGTCTCCAGGGCTAGTCCATACTAGTGTGTTTAATTTCCACTGGCAAGACTCCCTCTCTTTTCCATTCTCAGTCTAAATTCAAGTTCATGTCAACCAAAGCCCAGAATCCGGTGTCTGGTTACGGATGTCTGGGAAGAATGAGGGTGTGCCTCTGTCTAAACTCCCAATGCCTGTCTTAGCTGAGGAGGCAGCAGGAGAGGCCCTGACTCTTTTAATAGGGGTTTATGAACAGAATTTCATAATGGTCCCTGTGTTTCCTCTAAAGAATCCTTTCCTTCTATACAGTTTTTACAGATTTCTGCACACGTCTTTTTGTTACCTGGCATGTTTAAATCTTCTCTTTTTATCTAGGCAAATCCTTTGCTACTAGTTTCTAACGTTTGTTACTAAAAAATTGCACAATCTTTTGATGCACTGATAAATAAGCAGCAGCTATGGATGGAGTTTGTTCTGAAATGTTTTGAAAACCCTTTGCACTTATAACCCTTATTGAATAAGAGAATGTATTGTATGTTGGTTTGTCCTGTCAGATTCCCTTCCTGCTAGCAGCACTTGATATGTTACATCTGTGGCAGATGGGCTTTGGAAGTAGCAGCCCATCTTGGATGGACAGTTGTCATCTTCCCAAGCAGTGTGAGGCAGTTTATCAGATACACTTCTCCCCTTCTCCTCAGGAGCTTGTTGCTTTCTTGCTGTTTGTGGGTTTGAGCAAACCCTGCACTGTGTTTCTGTACACTGTCTTGTCTTGTTCCAGTAGACCTGGAGTCTGGAAAAAAAAAAAATATGCCAACAAACTCCACTAATTGGAGATGTTTAGCCTGATCAGGTGCAGGTAAGATGTTCTGCCCAATGCATTAGAAGCTGACAGACGTTTGTGGTAGTGTTCTGGAAGGTGCTGCTCTTGGAGCTAAGGGACAGCTTTCTTTGAGGTCAGTCAGCAAAGACAGAGACACCTGGCACAGGTTAGTCTGACAGGAATCTCTATGAGGTTCATCAGACATCTGCACTGAGAGCAAGCATGCCCAGCTGGTGCTGAGCTGCCACAGCTGTAGTTGTGATGGGAACCCTGACTGACAGGCACTGCAGTGTGTGTGTAGGTACGCGTTTGCATCTATTTTGCAGTTCCCCTTTATTCCTTTTGACAATTATTTCTGTTTCTTGAAAAGGAATTTCCCAGACCAAAACCTTCATTAAGATATATGTGAGTGTGCATGTGTGGGTCTTTGTGTGTGTACTCTGTTGGTTGTAGTACATGTGTCCTGAATGTGTCTGGATGCCTGTGTATGGGCTACAAATCCATAGGAGAGCGTACAGACATGAACATGTTTGTATGTGAAAGAGTGTGTGTATGCAAGCACATGTGTATGTGTTGTGAACGGTTGCTGGTGGAAACACATGAGTTGTTTTGTATATAACTGAGTGTATGAACATGTTTTCTGAGCCATTGTGGCTGTCCTAATGTGCAAGTCTGATTTGTTCATGGGTGGGTGTTTATATCTGAAAGTCTTCTGTATGCAGGCATGCTCATCTGCATGCCTGTGGGTGAGTGTAGACTTGCATGTCAAACTCAGCATATGTTTGTTAGCATGGCTGTGCATTTACACAGAGTGAGAAGGCATGTACTGATCAGGCAGGTCCCCAGGTTGTCTTCAGCACTTCTCAGTCCTTTGGGGAGCCCTCACTTTTAACACCTGAATGGTAAGTCCAATTGCATCACATTAGGCCCACTTGGTTACAGCAACTTGGGAACACCTCCCAGGTCCCTCCAGCCAGCCCCACAGACACACAGAGATGCATCTCACACCACTGATAATGTGCAAAGCACGGGTTAAGATCTGGCAGATATGAAAATTTCAGTGAGTGATGCAGTTTCTGCCAAAGTCACTTGTAAATTGCTTTATTTTCAATCTTGCTCCACAATTACATTTTCATAACTTTGCTTGTCAGTAAGCACTGTGCATCTAACTTCCTAGCCACAAAATGAAGAGTTCTGAGAATTTTCTGTAAATTAAGGAGAGGGTGTTAATCTGATATTAAAAAAAAAAAAAAAAAAAAAAAAGAGGCCCATTACCATGCTTCAACTCTCTCTAAGTGCTAAGACCAAGCATGATGTTTGGGTAATAAATTTAAAGATGATGTAATATATGGGGCCTGGGAGGTAGAGCCTGTGGGTCTGTGGGTTGCATTCCTTGGGCTCTGCCTAGATCCCTATGCCTCAGTCTCCCTATCAGTAAATTGGAGATTGTTATTATTCCCTCAGTTAAGAAAATATTGCCGTTACTGTTTCCAAAACACTTTAAGTTCCTCAGAGGAAAACATTATGGTGATAAAAAATGATTACTATCTATTATAACAATAATAGGAGTGAAAATGTTACAGGAGTTGAATAAAAGACAGCAAGTTTGGAATATATCATCCCAGAAGTAGCCCCAAGCACAGGCTTGCATTTCCTTCCTTTCCACATCAGCAGACACAGCCCAGAGTTCAGTGCTGTGAAGCTGACTGACAGCCTGCTGTCCCCTCCTCCAGGCAAAGAAAGTTTCTCATTCTAATTTGTTGTGCTGTGTCAGAGGGGGAATCAAGTTTGATTTGTGCTCTGCACTACTGTGCCCGAAGTGATGAGAGAAAAATGACCA